TGTTGCTGATTTCTACTTCTATCAAGTTGCTGTCCATGTATCTGTACTCCATAAGAGATGGTACAATATCTAAATCCTCAGGTACAACTGATCTTTCTGTTCTCTGTAACATAGCTGCTGTATGGTGATAAGGAATCTTCTTGTCCAAATATCCTGTCAAAGTTATATTACTGTTTGGTGGAATAATGATTCTCTTTTGTGCATTTCTCACAATGGCCAACTTTGAACTGTTTCTCTGCAACTCTTTTTCTCGTAAGTGTATGGATCTAAATGTAAGGTACCATTCGGTTGTCAAGTTAGATTTCTGTAGATATTTTTCACCTTCTTGTTGTTGAAGTATTTCCATAATCACACCCAAGACATTTGTTCCAAGCAGTAGGGGTACTGAGTTGTTGTAATTACTCTCTGGAATGACTAATAAAATGGCACTAAATTTATGTCTGATTTTAGGTACTTCTAATTCAGCTTCAATGAATCCTTCATAGGGTAATGATTTTCCATCTGCACATTCAATATCAAGTAATAACTCTAATTTCTGGATAGGAATGTTGCTCAAATTTTCTTCATAAAACTTTCTGCTGATAGTCGAAACAGTTGATCCTGTGTCTAAAAGTGTTTGAGTTTCTATTTTGTTGATAATAATACTGGTTTCTGTAGGTTTACCGCATATTCCAGGTGGTAAATATTTAGCCATTTTTGCAATCAAAGGGTCCTTAGGTTGTTTGTCTACGGCCGACCCTAGCGCATAGACAGCATCTAGTTTAAATTCTTTCCATGGACATCAGTGTTGGCACGACATCCTCTCTCGATGTGTCCCTCTCTTCCACAACGTCTGCAGGTAATGCTAGGAAAAGTAAAATGTTCCTTACTGCTTTGCTTCGTTCGAGTAAAATCATTTCTCAATCCTCTACCCCTGTAGGTCTGATCTCGATACCGTGATCCTCTGAATGGTGTTCTAAATTTTGATCTACCTCGTTGTGCAGTCTCTAGATTTTCTAATCTGTGTGTAATTTGCTTTAATACTCCTTTTATCTCATCTGATGATGATGTATCTTCAACAATGGCCTTCTTTGATAGCTGTTTAGAAATTTTCCCTTCACTTTCTTGTTGATTTTCTTTTTCAATTTTCCTCAATGCTACTCGAAGTGAATCAAATGAGTGGTATTTCTCTCGCTCATAGTGTGTAATGTCTTTCAAATCTGGTCTTAATCCTTTCCATAGCATATCATGTAGCATCTTGTCAGAACTGCTTTCAAAAACTTGACCTGTCATTATCGCTCTTCCCAGAATATCTTCCAATCTGCAGCTCCATTCTGTGATGTTTTCAGTCTGTTTCTGCCTTGCACCATAGAATTCACTAAGGATAGATTCTTTCTCATCTACGTCTCCATAAACACTTGTAAGTTTATCCAATATTTCTGGAATCTTTGCTTTAGGTCCAAGTCTCATTACAGTCCGTCCTGCCTCGCCCTTCAATGATTTTCTAATTGCCTGAGCAATTGCTTCTTGTGAATGGGTTTTCTCAATCATAAGACACTTGACTTCATACAGCCATAGGTCAAATGTAGTAGCACTCTTTCCTGTTGGATCTGTTCCTGAAAATGTACTAATGGCAGGAGGATGAATATAGGTAGTCGTTTTAGGAATGGCACCAGCATTCGCACCAGTTCCAGGTTCAATCTTGATTTCCACTTTCTCTTTTTCCAGGTACGCTTTCATCCAATTGATTAATTCTTCTTTAGAATCAGCTTTTGGTACTACTTCCATACCCTGAAGGGTTTCAACTAATTTCTGGTATTCCTCTGGCGTTCCCATTTTGTACAGTTATGTAGGGTTATTTCAAAAGTTGATATGGACAATTGTTCTTGAGGGTCTGGTGGTTAATATTGCTTTTACATTGCTATTTTAAATTGTATTTTACTCGACTAAATGTATTTAATTAAAGTTTAATTTATTTCAATTTAGTATAGCTATTTAAATTTTATTTTATATCCTGATAAATTTATTAATAGCTGTCTTTAAATTTAATTTGATTTACTATCAAGTTATTCCAAGTTCACTTAAATTTAACTAAGTTTTAAATCAACAATCAGTTTTCAATTGACACCAATTGAAAACTTAAAAAAAAAAATTTGTTACCGGGTTCACAAATTAACAAATATTGTTGGTGTTTCAATCCTTTATATATCCAATATTCAATATTCAATATTCAACAGTCTGAAATAAACACAGACATTATTTAACACACAACAACACACACACATATAAAATACACAAAGAGAGATAACTCTTCTTGTTTCTTAATACTCACTATTCAATAAATATTTCAGGCATAAAAACTATTTTTCATATTAGTATAATATTGAGATTATTCCTACAAAAAACTATAATTAACTGTATATGATTTACTTTCTTTGTATATCGTAATTCTTGTAAACTTCAGTGAATAAAATACGACAGCAGATATTCAAATGTAAGTCACTACTATTAATGAAATAGATACGTTTCCCGTTATGTTTCACATAACAATGGAATGTAAATACATAATATACAGACTCACATTACACCTAACATGATACAAACATATACATCACATATCTTACCCAATATATGGTATCAGACCCTTGTTATATATACAGCAATTCAGCTACATGTACATCATATCAAGTGGATCTGAATAATAACAAATATCATAATATACTCTTTACTTATTAATTTATAAAAAAAAATGATTCACACATTCACTTTTACTATTCATCAAATGAATGTATTTATAATATTAAAATCAACTGACCTTCTGTGGATAAATAAAGTCCAAGATCAATATATCACAAGAACTGAATGACCAAACTGATCATTCCAGACTCAATTTGAAAAATAATAATATTAATAGAAACTTCAATTTAAAAATCACATGAGTTAAACTTTCAGCCAACCAAAACAAGAATTCAATGATCCATGAAAAACTGACCAGAACTGGTATGGAAATCCATTTCTGACATATTTAAATAGAATGAGAATAAATTTATGGAAAGCTGTTACTGTAAATGATAAATGTTTTAAATTAAATTTATTTTATAATCTGTTAAAATAAATCAACTCACACACTACTACACCTATACATAATTTCCCGCGACCGGAAGTAATGAAAAATGAAAGTACAAATGCGAAATGACATAAATAAGGTAAAACAATGTTGTACAACAAATTTAAATGTAGTTTAAACATACAATAATGATGAATGAATCTTCCGGTCGGTATAAATTAAGATCACAAATAGATAAACACACATTTTAATAATATAGTCAAAAATCATTACATCAAAATCGTTACAATATATTCAAACAATAACAAAAACGTTCCCCCTAACACGTCCCTGGACAGAGTTAGAATTTATAAATCGTGTATATATTTGACTGCCACAAGTGATTAATAATGATAAATTGAAGATATTCAGTGTGAATCTACTAGAGAAGTATGTTCTCTAACCGAATTTTGCTGGGGAATTGTATGTAAGTTATCCTATTTTGTATAAACTGCGACAAAGAGTGGGAAATTTCTCTTGTATGTGGGTGAGTATAATTTCTCGTGGAATATTTTCTCAAGAAATAAAATTTAGACATGCCCCCAGCACTTTATATGTACCAAAGATCACGATGGATTGACTCATATGACAAATTTTTCTCTATAATGTTGTTTTGCACTTGGGCCGATGCGATTTTTGTGCAACATTAGGAATATATAAGTGTCCGTCACGTGATCAACAGAGGCATATGACATCACAAAAATGTATTATTATAATACCTAATTACATTCTCGTCACAAGTTTACTGCAAATTCATACAAAGATTACAAATTGAAATTAAAATCTAACTCAAAATAAAATATATATTTCAATGCATATTAAGCCTTTGGACAGTCTTAACATAGCTGCGAAACAAACACGGACCTGAGAGAATCTTAAAGATGGGATCTGGTGCCAATAAGGAGAAAGCATCACAGACCCATAGATCCCCAACCACCCCCTCTCTTGAACAATTCGTCTTGATCTGTGGATCTGTGGATAATTTAGCATAACGGCAAATGCCTAAATATTTGAATCAAATAGGTCAGTAGATATTTGACCTTTCAAAAGTTGTAATTGATTATTTTTTAGCATATCATTTGGAAAATGTTTACACAATGTTTATAAATATTGTTTATACCCTTGTAACATGAACGTATCTGCCAGAAGCATGTTCCGATAAAACAGAAATGTTCAAAGGTATACTATACTCTGGTAAATCGAATCAACTGGAACGCATAAACACTCTATGCTAGATATAATGATCTGCTACATAAAGAAATGAAGTTGATAATAAGAAAATTTGGTAAAACTAGCCTGAATATAAATTGACACAATTATTACCTGTTAAAACTTTGCTGGGAGATTTTTTTTCAAGGGACTTTCTAGATCAGGCCAATTAAGAAGTCTAGAATCTTTTTGTTATGTAAGTGTATTCTGGTAAAGAATCAGAATGATGTTAATAAAGTGACTTTGCATATAAAAAATTATTAGAAGATTTAATTAATTTTTTTTTATCAGAAAAGCAATTGTTTGAGATGTGAAATAGCATGGGCTTTACGTTATCGGTAGGAGTGATCATTAATTTTTTTTATGATGAGTGCTGTATATAGATTTAAATAAAGAGTTGTAAATTTACATGCAATTTGTTTTATATTCAGACAAGAAGACTTTGAAAAAAAAGTTATATCATAATTCATAATTCATAATTCTAAGTGCCATCAAGCCTAACAAATGTTTGATTAGGATTAAACTTCAATTTCCATTAAAATGTGGTTGACTGCTTGTGCATTATTTTTCTGTAGATACATATATCATGTTCTTTTTGAACTAAGTGAGATAACTCAAAAATATGTCTACCTCACGTTTGCCCGTACAGGAATTCTAGAACTTGTAAATCTTTTGTAAATTTGTAAATCTTGAAAAAGAATAATACCTTAATTTAGGATTCCCATCTAAGTTTTTTTCTTCACTTTCAATGTCCCCAAAACAAACAGGATCTGCCAGAAATGTAATAACTTTAATAATTATTATTTGCAATTCTTTTAAGCGTGTAATATTCCACATTTTTTCTAGAAATATTTTGACTAAACATGAATTTCTTACATTTGTATATCTCGTCACTTCGAAAAGGCATGCTGGGACAACCCGTTACATTACATATCTTCCAGTGCAAATAATCATCAAATGTGAGGATTGGACAATGCCCTATCGATGTATAATTATAATCATTAAATTAAAAAAAAAATTGATATAATGATAATTGATTGTTGTTTCATTTTCCTTACGAGAATTTTTCACACATTTGCGACGTCCCCATATACAGCGAAGGGCTAAGAATTTAGAGTCAAAGGTATTTGGCAGTAAAGTCTTTTTTGTTTGTCAACACATACTGACGGGACTTACGTTTTCAGGGTCTCTTACGAAAGACTAGTGACGTTCACTTTTAATTCTGGGCGCTAAGAGAAGAAACAACCAACCCTATGTCAGGCGTTCTAAGTTTGAAGTGAATGAGAAAGGAACCCTGTATCTGCCCTTCACAAACCGTGCGCTGCATCACTAGGCTACGTTCACCGAAATAATGATTGTTTAATATCTGATTCTATTAATTTTTTGAAATGGGAATAAAAACATTGAATTGTTAATAAATTTGCCCATAGAATTTCATTATTTGTTTCCTTTTAAAACATAGAATATTTCAAGGGATTCTTATTTTGCATTTCTGTAATATTATCTTAAAATATAATGTTTAATTATTTTCATACTGAAGCATTTCACAATTATACAGCGACTGTTTATTTACTTAGCTTTTTGGTCAAATATCTTCAAAAGATTTTAAAGAAAGAATAAAATGTATTGTGAAACAAGTTGTATCATAATGAATGTTTGTAATTGTATTCGGTAAACCAACAGACTTCCTTTTGAGCAAACTCAAAGGATTGCTTGTTTGTTATATAACGCTTGTAATTTTGCCTAAATAAATAGAATTTTATATTCCCACGCTACAAAGTCATACAAATGTTATACGAATTTCCCTAACAATACTCTTATTGAATTTCGCCAAAAAGAAAATACCTTTAAGTCAAAACACAAATACAAAAGCTATAATTATCTCCAAATTTATGGACATGAATTATTATTTAATGATCCATTTTTAAAAGGTCTTGAAAAGTTGGGGTTTTATGCCCTGTAAGTCTTTTCAGATTTTCTCCACTTTCTAGGTATATTTGCTTAATAATTACAAAATACTTTCTAAAATCAACATTACTTTGGAAGCATTACAGACGACATCTTCATTTTCCGACAAACTAACGAAGAGTTTATGTCTTTTTATATATATTTACTTCTTTTGTAAAATTATTCTAAGCATGCATTATAATTTTTTTTTACACTATATCGAAAACTTATGACCCCGGAACCTTTTACCGTTCATTACTAATGTTTTCTCTATGCACTTTTCTTTTCTTGTTTTCTCGTCCTCAACAAGTAGACAGTGGTATACATCGACGCCCTGACATACTTTCGTTTTGGATCTGGCTTTCCATTCAGTTTCATTTAAAGGACAATTGATTGTCGACAAGACGCCTACAAATCATAAACACATTATAAATTTTCTAAAGACAGGAAATGTTGACAAAGGAGACGAATTCATCCAGAGTAGGGTTCAAAGTGAGATTTATCGCCACTGTATAGACAAATGTTGTTTTATGTGATAACAGAACACAGACATCTATAAAATAATGTGTTCTGTTCAATTAAAATAATTAAAGTTATTTGTGTATAACCGAACATTAATTCTTTCTTAAAATAATAAAAAAAAAGGACTACAAATTTCAAAAATTCACTTCAATGTGTATTTTGAGTACCAACTTTTATTTTATTCATCATTGATTAATCAATTTAGAGAGCAAAAAAATTAATAGCAGTTTAGTTGTCATGTACCTAATGCGACTTAAAACAGACTTAAAGGTAATAATAAAAAGACTTACCGACAACATAAAAAGTTAACATTATAACCAATTGACTAGCAAATGTTTTCATTGATTTCTAGCCAGTGTGTTTGAGCAGCAACACTTCCACTATAAAAAAAAAATTCAAGCATTTTCTAATGAGACCACGGGTAATGATCTTTCAAGTTCACAAGTTTGTCATGCTTATCAATGGTGTTAAATTTCCTAATGGAAACTATGTATTTTAATGGATTGCATTTGGTTGTGTCTCAATGTAATAAGCATGGCGTAAACTTCAATCAATTATTTTTGCAATGAGAAGAACATAAACAAGATAATTATTAATGATCTTGACTATTTTATAACAAAATGTAGTTTCAAAAATACAATTTAAAGTTTTAAAAAAACCCAACAACTTACCTGTTTCAATCCAGCTACTTGATAGAAATAAGAAGAAAAAATCGATGTTTGTATGAATAGAATAGTGTCTCTTTCACATATGTTAGATGGGTAAGGCCAGTGTTGAACAGATTTGAATATCTGTTTTCAAGTTTTGTTTTCATTTAGTTTTTTTTAGTCCAAAATCAACAGAGCTTATTTCCTCATTTCCCCTTCCATCTTCCTGATGTTATTGTATTTTTTTCCTCCTGCATACACGAAGAGAATATGGGCATACTATTTGTTATCAAAACAATATGTCCAAAATATTTTTTTTTTGAAACCGGAACTATTTCAATACGTTTCTGAATTATTAGTATGAAGGTGACCTTGCAATAGGCAAGAACATTCATATCCATTTGTTCATATGTTAAAATAAACTGAAAGGTTAGGAAATTCAAATGTTTCGTATTCTGTTTTCTTTTCATTGTGGAGGTGCAATTCCAAACATTGAAGAGGAAAACTCCCCTTTCTGTAAGATCGGTAATTATCCAAAGCAACATGTAATTACCCTTCCATTTTTAAAGTTACATAATGAGTCAAAATCATTTGTTTCTTTCTTGATATTTCTATTATAAAACGGAACGAAAGATTCATGAAAAAAAAGGAAGTATGGCGAAGTTTGGACAAAGCTACCTGAACTGTAAAGCAAGAAGACTGCAGAATTTAAGTCCAGTAATTTCAATCACTGTTTGATTTAGTAAGATGACAAACTGTGCATTGAATTATTATATAAAATAACGTTTTCATCAAATGTATATAAATATTTTCCCACTTCTATTATCGCTTTAAATATATGTACACTATTCAATACTGAACTGATTGAATCAGCTGGCTACTAAAAATGTAATATTGAAAAATAAACGACTGTACAAGGATCTGTAAACTCATCATCAATACAAACCATACTCGTTACAACAGCTGTGATGAAACAGCTGACTACACTACAGTTTGCTTAAGGGCCGGGGCACAGATCTGAAGCTCATATATTCTAAAATTTTCTAAAAAAAAAAAAATCAATACTTAGATGTTGCTAGAGCATTTCATACCAAAATACATGTATGTAAATAAAATGTGTGGTTAGAAACTTATTTTATCAGGAAATTATTAAGACTACTAATTTCGGGACACGTTTTTTATTGACACATATTCTCGCACTTTCACAAAGTAAACTTTATCCATAATACTGAAGAAATAATGAAATTTTGTTGTGTACTAGTGAAAAATATGAAAACTATGATCAAGAAAGTTCAGAGTATTTGACAGACTAATCACGTCTGTCAGCAATACTATATTTCTTAAATTAACATATTTTTCTCTTTTAAAACTTGATTTTACTCCACATCAAACTACTACTTGAAACTGTATCTTCCGTAAAAGTAATAAAATATGTTTTGCATGATATGTAAGGTAAAATCATTTAGAACGATTGAAAGAACAGTGAAAATATTGAAAAATACTTTGATAATATTTTCATATTTCCGAATTCTATGAGGGCCTGAATTGAAGAGGGTGTGACTGATTTGAGCAGACTTAAATAGTTTACATATAGACTTCTTGATTTTTCACATTTACATTATCTACTGATTATTTGTAGCTTTATTCTAATAAAGTAAATATTTCATACGTATATTAGTAAAAGCTGTCCTTTCCAAAGCCCATTTCTTGTAAGATTTTAACATACTTTATCTTGATATCATGAAGATAACCACTTATCAAATTAAAAAAAAAAATCAATGCTATATTTTTGAAAAAAATCTCCAAGCGGTTTATTTTTTTTTGGGGGGGGGGGTGATTTTTTTTTGTCGTTTTTTTTTATATCGTGTAAAATAAATCTTTAGACGAAGAATGTGACCTCATCAAATTGTTTGTCATCTAACACTGCTTGAAGATTCTTTGAAATATCTTGGTTAATATTTACTTGTACCACTCCCTGCCGGAAGTTGCCGCTTCTTTCCAATACTTACAGAGTAAATGCACTTACCCCACCTCTGTTGATTTTTCGATGAAATCCTGGCTTACGATTGGTTGAAGTCTGTCACGTGAAGGGGGTGTATTACTTATACCTAGTCGCTTGAAAATCAATACATGGTCGATACGGAGTTATCGTTCTTTTGTAACGTTCGAACAACTCGAGTTCACGAGGTTGACAATTTAACAATTAAGTTAACTAATGAAATGAAATATATGGAGATAACGAACAGTATTAAGTAACGAGAGGGAACCTTTTTCTCCCTTTACTGAAAGTCTTCAAAACTGTCAGTACGTTATTACAGCACGAAACACTCGCAAAACAACATTACATAACACAACGTGACGTCAAAATAAGCATTGTATGAGTGATAAAACATATACCCTAAAACCTTGAAAATTAGCCGGATTCAATAATAAGTCGGTTTTGAAAATAAGCCACCTATTTCTTGCATTGAAAATTACTCAAAAATAAGCCTGATTTGAAAATAAGCCGGTAATGATAGTTCCATTTAGAACACAGTGTTATTTTTAATTACAATATATTTTATTTTATTATAAACATTCTATGACATTAATAATTTTATTCAACAAAGCACAAGATATTAAAGCACTATTATTTTCTTTTTAGCTCA